ATTGATGACCTGTCGAACTGGTATCTGAGAAGCGTCATGCCCAACTAGTGATTGCAATGTGCTCGTCAACTTGCTTGTGCATTTCACATGCGCCCTGGGATCGAATATCAAAAATGTTGGGAACCATAAGTGTCACGACGATGCTGCAGCCAAACGCGGGAAATGTAATGATATATTCTGCGCGCCCAAATGCCAGGAATACCGCTTGGTTCCCACAACCAGGGGCCGTATTTAATGTGTATATATATATACACCGTGCCATTATTCCATGCACGTGCGCTCATGGGAGGGATCGCGCAAGGGGAGATAAAGTTAGGTGCGCGCGCATGTCCCTACGATGCGTGAACATGTCATGCACGACCAACGCTTGGCACTTCTCTGGCGAGCCGATGTAGTAGAAATGCTGCCTGCTCTTGAGGTCCTTCAATGGTCGCTGATCTCGTAAATTTGAACGATATCGAAGGCCATTCGGATTAGGTGGATATGGCGCCACTGCATCAATCACCTAGTTGTTCAAGCGTTGCAACCAAGACGTGGCTTGATCAGCGCATAGCCAACGCTCCGAATTGTAAAATTTGCGCCTCCACGTCTTGCTGGAGAGGGCCCGGAGCAGCTTCAGATCTCGATCGCCAAACGTGGAATCGATGTGGAAGCATGCGTTGCCGTGAACCCAGGAGGAAATTCACGTTGAATGAATCCCCCAGGTCGTCTTCCCAGTCAGGCTCCAGGAAGCGTAATAATTTGTGCCGTGAAGTTGCGGCCTCGTCCAGCATCTCCTGCGTGCGGGAGTAAGCATTGAGCTCCACTGAACGGTGAAATCTATCTCAAGCGCGCCGCAAAGACTGGCATAGCTGAGCGCGAGTGGGGGCAACAACGAACTTGCCGCCGGTCGTGATCAAAAACTTCGTAACGCGTGAGCCGAGACCGACGAACTCAAAGACAACTCGCGCCTGCGTCCAATTCTGGATGCTGTTGGGCGTCAGTCTTTTTGAGTAGTAGCCGGACGTGATAGGAGGCACCCTGCTTCGCAGGAAACCGCGGGTGCTGGCCCAGCAGGCATCTAAGAACGCTCTGCCTTTGCCTCGGCCGTTCTCCCTCTTCCTGCCCGACTGGCCGCGTCCAGCGGCTCGTCCGCGACCGCGACCCTTGGGATTGGAGTCCCAGGCGGTGGTCTTGCCTTTGGGTTTGCTTTTGGACTTGCCTTTGCCTTTGCTTTTGCTCGAGTCCTTGCCACAGCTCCTGCCGTAGCTCTTGCCTTTGTCTTTGGCGTCGGAGGTGTCCCCCTTGCCTCTGCCAGCACTGCGCCCTCTGCCGCGAGCGCTGGGAGCACCCCTGCCACGTCCTCGGCCTCGACCACCCTTGGTCGACTGTGTCGCCCTGGGTGCTGTGATGGTCTGCTGGTCGCTTTTCTTGAACAAGGCATTGAATGTTGCATTGTTTGCTAACCATGTTCGTGGCAGACGCCTGGTTGTTGGGATGCAATACCTCCTTGGGCTTGCTCCTGGGGAAATGTGCAAAGTGCTGCTCCATGGACATGCGGAGTGCAACCTCGTTGCCGTCCATTTGCTGTAACTCCAACCATGCCTTCTCCAAATTATCCATCTTCAGCTGGTGTCGTCACTTCTGCTTCTCGAAATACTTGACGAAGTTGTTGGCTGTGTGATGGCATCGCATCGGACCACTGCAATGCAGTTCTCGATGAGTTGCTCCTCTGTTGCAACCTCTTGTTTCAGTTTCGCCGAAGAGTCTTTGAGCGCCTTGAAGTGGAGCGCAAAAAGTCTGAGTGGACATAGCGTTCCCTGCCAGCGCTCTGACTCTTCCACTGCAATGTAAAACTCTGCCACGTTCGCGGGATAGCTGGCTCTCTCGGCACCCGCAGAAATGGATCCAAACCCAAGGGAATATTTGAAGCAGATCTTGTTGTCAAAGGGTCCCCCGGGTTATCCATGACGAGCCATTCGCTCCATTATTTGATCTTTTCCGTGTGCCTCTTTAACATTCACATGTCGCGCCATCTCCCAGGAGGCCCCTGTGCTTTTGTACCAGTTCCTATTTCGCTCACCCGCGCACCCGCCGCCGTCATCACCGTCCACCCGTTCGCGCCCCCCTTAATCACCTCCCCTCGCCCGTCGTCCTCCCCCCTCGTTCCTCCCCCTTCTGCTTCCCTCCCCCTTCTGCTTCCCTGTCCTCTCCCACCGTTCCTGCACTATTGCAGCTTCGTGCCAGTCCACATAAAGCGCCCCATCGTCTCAGGGGCGCTGGCAAGGGTGGATCGCTTCACCATCCCCGGAGAAAACAAGCCGGAGGCGCTAGTCGAGCTCGCTCGTGTTATCCTGGCCTCTGGGTTTCCTGCAGTTTTGATGTGCCGCTGGATGTTGAGCCGCCGGGGCGTTAGTACACCAGGCTGGGTACAGTTCGCGTGCTCCCAGATAGCGGTGCCAGCAGGACCCTAGCTATTATGAACCCCTCCTCGGAAAGCTTATCCTCGGCTCCCTCTCTGCCCTCTCGGCTTGGCCCCGTCCTCCCCTAGGGCCTCTTCCCGCCTCATCCCCCTCGCCGTCTTGCCTCGGCCCGCCGTCCCTTACCCCCCCTTTCCTCCTGCCGTGGATGAAGGGGTCTGCCGAGTCCACCCCGAAGCCCTGCTTGGCCCCGGCGCACGGCGCCGGAGGCATGTTCCAGGGAAGCCCTCCCCGGAACACGCCTCGAGGATCTCTCCGGCGTAAAGCTGGAGGATCCCGCCAGACCCGAAACGATGGCGGATGGGCCGGCACGCCGGTTTTCCCAGAGCTTAGGCAGAGCACTTCGGCCATGCATCGTGTCACGGTTTAGAGGTCAGGACTTAAAGGAGGTCCAGACGTACCTCCACTTTCTTTGCATCGTAATTTAATGCACCAGTCAACCAATTACTCATCTTCCTCCCTCCCTCCCTCGCTCTGCTCGTCCTTATGCACAACAGATGGCGTTGGGAGGGCTGAGGGTGAGGGCGGGCAGTTGCCGCCAGAGGAAGGAGCATCCGAGGTGGGCCTCTCAATGAGGTGATGGATTGAACGTATATCGTTGAAGACGGCTTGGAGGGCCTGGGTGCATCGCCATAGAGTTGAGCCAGTTGCTTCACGCTGCGTGCCTGGTACGGTAACAACGTCGGTTGCGCACCGAATCCGTGACGCAATGTCTCCGTGACATTCAGATCCCGGGTTACGGAGTGCCGTCTTGGACCAAGTCCGTGACGCACCAACTCCGTGACATTGACATTCGTGTTGCGGTTGGCCGTTTGTGTGCACAGTGTTTCTTACTCCCATTACCGTGGGAAAACAGATTGGCGGACAGGCCCCTACACCGGATAGGCCAGCAGAGCCCAAATCCGAGGTCGGCCACTCAAAAGGGCGATGGACCAGTTCGCACCCAAATTCGCGACGCAACGAGAATGTCACGAATTTCGGTGCCGCGCCCGAAAGGGTTTCCCTCGACAGTGGAGCCCCAAACAGCTCGATCAGAGCGGGGGGGACTTCCCAAATCCCCGTCGAAGGATTTGGCATCCTATACCGAGATATGGCCGAAAAAAATGAGTGGAATGGAATACGTCCTTCACAGCCGTTGGCAAGAAAAACGGGTACATGGACCCCCCTGGTGTCAGCAGGTGGCCGATAGCTTTCTGCAGTACCTCCGATTTTGAGGATGTGGTGCGCGGTCGGCCAACTATTATATTATGTTCTTCTCGCAGTCGCACAGTCTCCAGTATTTCGTTGATGGTCACCTCATCCTTAAAGATGGGTCTAGGTACACTTTTAAGCCTATCGCACGCTTGGTAATCCTCCATTTCCTCTTCCTCCTCCTCATCCTCCTCCTCCGCCTCCGCCTCCCCCTCCTCCTCCTCCTCCTCCTTCTCCTCCTTCTCCTCCTCCTCCCTACCTCCCTAACCCCCTACCTCCCTACCTCCCCGTCCTCCATCCATCCCTGCTCCTCCTCCTCCTCATCCTCCTCCTCCTCCTCCTCTGCCTCCTGATCCTCCACCTCCTTCTTCCACTCCTCCTCCGCCTCCTCCTCCTCCGCCCTCCTTCCTCCTCCCTCCGCCCTCCTCTCTCCTCCCTCCTCCCTCTTCCTCCCTCCTCTCTACTCCCTCATTCCTCCTACGTGCTCCCTCCTCCTCCTCCTCCGCCTCCTACTCCTCTGCCTCCTTCTCCTCCTCCTCCTCCTCATCTCAAGAGGGTGGACAAGGATCCAGACCAACAGATGCCCGCCGAAAACAGACAAACACTGGACACTGGGACCCCCTCAGGCCGTGGAGGCGGACCGGGGGGGGCGAAGACTCAAACAGACTTAAACGAGCTCAGCATCACGAGGGCAAGGAGGCTGACCGTGACCCCAGCCATCTGATGTCTTAGTTTTTTCCCCACAATACAGGGTCCCCAGAAGTTTCGACCCTTCGCCAGGGCCAGTTTTTCTTCCTCGAACAACCTTCCTGAGATCCAACGTGGGGAAAATTTCCAACATCGCGATAAATCACTCCAGAGTCCTAGACCTCATCTTTCTGCTATATTTTCTGAACTGGATCGCTCTGGGATGGTCTGGGAGCCCGAACCAAGGCGAAACCGCCCGATGCGACAAAGTTGCAGCGCCCGGATCTGAGCGGTGGACGAGGCGACCAGAAGGCGCAGAGGAACAGCAGCAGCAGCAGCAGCAGCAATAGCAGCAGCAGCAGCAGCAGCAAGAGCACATACGACCCGGGGGGGGATTGCACCGCACCTTGGCTGATCCTCCGACTTCGAGTTCTGTCGGAAATGTACCCCACATGATGCGAAAAAGCAGGGCGGAACTCTCCGCCTCAGGAAAACATTGTGCGAATATTTCCGCAACAGCGTGGCGGAAACAATGACTGCAAAAAAGGTGCGGAAATCGGCATCAAAGAAGCTCGAACAGTAGGGCGGAAGCTTCCGCCCTATACTTGCGAAATCGCCAAGAAAGTACGCCTGATCCGGAGTCAGCGTGGCCGAGAGGGGCACCTTCACAATCACGCTGCTCGCCGACACCACCGCCACCGCGCCCACGGCCGCCATGATGGCCAGGGACGCCGAGGCGATGCTCGACGTGGAGGCTAAGATGTCCGAGCTCACCTGCTGCAGCGGCCTGCGGGAGGTGGACTCCAGATCCCCTCGCGCCGTGGAAAAATCATGACGCAAGGTTCGAGTTTCAAGGTTTCTGGGCGTTTTCGTCCGTCGTCGGCGATTTTCCAGCCTCGGGATGCGCATCGCCGAGGGCGTCCCAGGGGAGCCCAGATCATCCCGAATCGACGCCGCAGACCCGAGCTATGGCCCGAAAACCCTACCCCCTCGCGTCGTGCAAACATCCTGATGCACGGTTTTCCGCCGTTTTCGCCCTCCGCGGGCCCTCGCCGAGCCCCACGACCGTCAAGAGAAGACTCAGGATGCCAAGCTGGTCCTGGGGAGTGGGGTGGAGCCTTCCGGGGGTCCACGTCATAAAAAAGATCATGACGTCGGGGGTCTGGGGACCCATCGCCGGGGGTCTGGGGACCCAGATCCCCGACAATAACTTCGTTGGTTCCCTGAGGTTTTCCAGCCTCGGGACGGCTGCGCCTCGCCGAGGGCATTACAGGAATGCCAAGATCGTCCCGAACAGCCTCCAGCGGCCGGAGTCCCCAGATCTCCGACGGTATGATGCTTTCATGTGGGCGTTTCCCCTTGGTCTCGACCTCTGGGGCCCGTTCTCGGCGTTTTTTTGTCCCCAGGGAGCTAGGAGTCCTGGGAGGAGGATGGGGGCACAAAGATCGAGGTCCGAGTTTCTGAACGTTCTGCATAGGCCCAGCTTAAACCCCCTCGAGATCCCGGTCAGAGCGCACCCAGGGATAGGCCCAGGGGCCGATTTCCACAGACCAGGCGCAGACCTCTGGGCACCACGAGTAAAAAGCGCGACTGACGGGCTTCCACTATTTCCTGTGTCTGGCCTGGGACAGTACAGCGACTGACACGGGACGAAAAAATCAGTCCGTGGGGTGTCGTCGACCGCTCCAGGGGCCCGCCCCGCGCAAGCATCGCGTGTCGCCAGAGGTTCGGGGCCTCCCACGCGATAGGGTCCAAAGAGAACGCGCTGCACCGCCGGTGCAGCAGCGATGCGCGGCTGGAAAACGTATGGTTCCAGATGACACGACATCGTCTTCTGTCAACACGTGGGAGCCTCCCATGCCATCTTGCCGGCTCTCGCGAATCGACGCTAACCGATACCAATCGACGCTGATCGACGCTAGTCGACGCTAGATCGAAGCTGATAAGCGTTAAACGAACGATAATGCATTCTAAAGATGGGATTCCGAGAAAATTCAAGGCTCTCATAAGTTGCTACTGAACATCGCCGGCGTATCGGCTATGTACAAGCGAAGATGGCAGTGCAATCGTCGGGCCCTGGCTCTGCACACACTCACTGGTTGGTGGGACACCCTGGCCCTGGCTCTGCTCTGGCCCCCTACTGGAGGGGTGGTCGGAGGCTTCCAGCAATTGCCCGAGTGGTTCGGCGGCCTGTGGGACTTGGGAGGAGGAGGAGGAGGCTGGATGAGAGGGGGCAGAAAGCGGGGTGGACGGAGGAAGAAAGAGGGAGGAGGTAGGAGTGAGAGAGGAGTGAGGCTGACAAGGAGAAGTAAAAGAAGGATGCGCAAGAAGGGGGGGACAGAAAGAGAGAAACGGGAGGAGGAGCCCGAACTCTTCAGATGCTCAACAGCTCAGGGGTGGGATATGCAGCAACCATCGAGGCACTCATGCTCTTGGGGGATCGCAGAAAACCCTTGAAACACTCAGAGAAATTTGGGGTCGGAGGTGCCCAATGCACCTCTCAGGCTGTTCAGGGATCCGCGGTCAGGGTCGCGGCGGCCGGGAGTTGTGAGGAGAGCCCCTCGCGCCGAAAAACTGATGCTGCCACAGGCGGTGGGGGGAGGCCAGGGGTACGGTTTGACATCCAAGGCCATCCCCGACAGGGGAGTCAGTTGAGACAGCGGCGGTCCTGCCTGGCGCCTCCTCCTCCTCCTCCTGTTAAATCTGCGAACGAAGGTTCTTACTCAGAGGACCTCTTCTGCGCTTCTGGCCAGGCCTATGCTCCCGTGCTGTGGAGCACGCGTGCTGGCCAATGAGGACCCCATGAATCATTCGCTGCATCCGCACGTGCACAGCACACACACACACTGTCTGTAATTCGTGGCGTCTTGTATTGCAGAACCTGCAGGCGATTTGGCACAATGAATGTTCGCGACTTGAGCAAGGTATGTCCGACTCGAGGCCCTTCAAAGGCGGGGGTTGAGGTGCTCAGTCGATTGTCCAGGAGCCTCACTTCAAAGTCAGGAGTCCTCTCCCCGCAGTGATGATGTGCTCACCAGTGCCCAGGCTTGACCAGGTCTCCACGGCCCCCTGAATCCTCCTCCTCCTCCTCCTCCTCCTCCTCTTCCTCCTCCTCCTCCTCCTTCTCCTCCCTGGCTGCATAAACTTAAATTCTTGGAGGTGCGCGCTGATTTCCTTGGATTCGCGCTGGGCCCCCATCCCTGACACGCGGAGCACGCCAGGGGCGGCGCTGGAGGCGCCGCCAGGGGGCTGCAGCGCAGATCCGAGGAATCCGCGCGGTCCGAGTTGTTTTGTTTTGTTTCTGTCATTGTTTGTTCGCCTACTCCTCCCTCCTCCCTCCCCCCTCCTCCCCTCCGAGGGGCGAAGAGGGGAGAGGCCTCGTATCCACGAGTGCGCACCGCGTGCCGGTGAGGATGCCGCCCTCGGAGCACACGAAGAGGCCGTCGCCCTCGGAGGCGTAGCCTCGGTCGCACCGCGGGGTGCAGGTGGAGTTCTCCTCGAGCAGCTCTGGGCAGTCTCCCATGCTACCGTTCTCCGGGGCGACGACGAAGCAGCCCGTGACGGTCGAGGTGGTGGTCGTCTGGGTCAGAGTGTTAATCACGACAGTGGGCCAACCCTCGATCCAGAAGGAGGACACGGGGCCTGTCGAGGGGTCGGCGATGAAGACGTCCTCGATGTCGGTGATGTTCCTGATCTTGGCTTCCAATAGAGTTGCGAGGGTCGCCTCATTAGCTTGGTCTTCGTACTCGAGCGCGAACGTTTCTGCCTCAGACTGGGTCAAGTACGTCACTACAATCTCCACGATGACAGACCCCTGACTGAGAAAAACCTCCAACGTTGCATCATCACTGAGGTTCCCAAACGTTTCGAGGAAACCATCTATCACGGACTGCTTGAACGTTTCTTCCAACGACTTGTTGGACGTGAGCTTTGTGTAGTCCATTTGCTGAACCGCAAGCACCACACTCGCCTGTTGATTCTTGGGCGGCGGGGGCGCTGGCGTGGGAGCAGGAGCTGGTGTCGGAGGCACTGCTGGTGTGGGGAGCGGTGCCGATGTGGGCACCGGTGCCGGCGTGGGCGCCACCGTTGTGCTTGTACGCGTGCTTGTCCGCGTCGCCTCTTCGCAGTAGCACAGCCGGCGCCTCGCATCTCCGCCTGGCTCATCAGCGCACGAAAATGTGGACAGATCCCTGCGGGACGCGCTCACGTAACACCTGGGGAGAGGGAGGCTGGCCAGTACGATCAAGCCTCCGCAGGCCCACGGTGTGCCCAAACCCAAACCCTCGTGGATGTGGCCTCCGAGCCTGGACGCGTGCCGATGTCCGCTTTTCAAGAGCCTGATGGCTTCTCCTGTCCCTCGACTCGCGCAGCTTTCATGAACTCTACAGATTCCCCGAAGATCTTGTCTGTAAGGCTCCCATGAGATGTTTCGAAAGGCCTGGTGTGAAGCCATCTGGATCCAGAATCGTTGGCTGGCCCGTGGCCCGTGGCCTGCCGTATGGTCTCCAGTATGGTCTCTTGTATGGTCTGCTGAATTGTATCCGTTATCGCCTCCTTGGTGGTATCCTTTCGAATACTTCCTAGGGTCATATCTGTACTACCTTTGGCTTTTGCTGACAAATGTTTGCCTATGTTTGCCAACAACGACCCGCAACAGTGAGATGCTTCACTGTGGAAATTTACACTATGTAGTGTGGCATATATGATGTGTGGTTTATGTGGTGCGAACTTCGACGCCCAAACTATGTCGCGCAGTAGGTGTGGTGCAAATACATGTCGTGCGAGCTATGCGGTGCAAATTATGTGGTGCAGTATGTTTAGTACGAACTATACGGTGTCTCTACGTGGTGCGATAAATGTGTTGCATTTTGTTTGGTATGAACCTTGTGGCCAAATCTACGTGGTGCAATCACTCCACTGCTCCACTGCTCGCGCAATCATCCCACCCACCCATCCGCAATGTGGTATGCAAAGTGGAAGCGATTGCGATGAGTGTTTGGTGTTGGCTGGTGCATCTTTGCGGCCGCACTGACCAGCGCATGCTCGCGCGCGCAGCGGCCAGGTAGTTTGGCGCGACCGACGCGAACGCGGTGGCGTTGACCGCTCGGCACATCCCAGCGGACACTTCATTGCGAGTCGGCGACTTGGGCGGGCGCGGTATCATGGCAACTATGACAACGGTAAACACGATGATGACAGTAGCGATGCTAGTGACGGTGCTGACGGCGACGGCGGGGCAGCCAGTGACGGCGCCGATGCTCATCACGCCTACGACGATGACGCCGTTTCCGTGGTGAAGGTTTTGGAAGGAGTTCGGCATGCGCGCGCGGCCGGCGCGCGAGTGGCCCGCATTGTATTATTTGACGCGGATCGTGCCACCCCAGCACGCGCGCCACGGCGTTCGAACGATTTCGACATGCGCGCGCGAAGCCTGTTTGGTAGCATGTTATGAAAAAACAGTGCTAAAACCCATCGTTTTTTCTCAAGAATGTCGCGAGAGCGCACGCGCAAGTTTGTTTTGAAATACGCGCTACGACACCCCATGTGTTTTTGTTTTAACTACGTTTTTGGACACTCGGTTTGAAATCCCTACGGAACCCCAAAAAATATTTGAAGGATTTCGGTACGCGCGCGCGCGATCACGCGCGCGCGTGCACTTCGCCCCATTTGTTGCAAGGGATTCTTGAGAATTTATCATTTGTTATAGACGAGTGTGCACGCATAGCATTTGCTGCAAAGGATGGCGGGGGGGGGGGGGCGATGCCGATTGGGCTGGGATTGTACGAGATCATATGTTGGATGGACGATGGGGCAGGCTCACATGTAAATTGCAATGCGACAAGGGGAACCGAAAATCTCAAGGGGGGGTAGAGTCTATTTATTCTCTGCTTAGAAATGAGAAATGAATTTCTGTTCGCAATGAGTTGTCAACCCCACTGCTCGCGCAATCATCCCACCCACCCACCCGTAACTTGGTTTGCAAAACGCACGCGGTGACGATTGAGAAAAGTGCTTGGCGTTGGCTGGTCGACCTCTGCGGCCGCGCCAACCCAAGCGCGCAACGGCCGCCCAGTTCGGCGCGACCGTCGCGGACGCGGTGGCGCTGACAGCTGGGCGCATCACAGCGGGCACTTCAATGCGAGTCGGCGACTTAGGCGGGCGCGGCATCATGGCGACGTCGACAACGGTAGACGCGACGATGACAGTGGCGATGCTGGCGACGATGTTGACAACGACGACGGCGCGGCCAATGCGGGCGCCGATGCTGATCACGCCGACGACGATAACGACGCCCTCGCGTCGGCGATGAAGATTTTGGAAAGAGTTCGACATGCGCGCGCGGCCGGCGCGCGAGAGTGGCCCGCATGGTTTTACTTGACACGGATCGCGCCCCTCCAGCACGGGCGCAAGGGCGCGCGAATAATTCCGGCATGCGCGGCCAGAAGCCAGTTTGGCAGAATGCCATGACACTGATGAAACACCTACGGTTCCCTCAAGATTTCGCAAGAGCGCGAGCGCACGCTGCTTTGAAAACTAATGTTGCAAAACCATGTGTGTTTGCATGTTGTTGGGGCACTCGGTTTCGAAATCTCTGCGGAACCAAAGGTCTTGCCAGATCTCGGCATGCGCGCGCGACGACGCGCTCTCGCGCACTTCGTTCCACTTCTTGCAGGAGAGATTCTCGCGACGGCAGGGGCGCGAGGGCGTTCGCGCGATTTCGACATGCTCGCGCGAAACCCGCTTGGTAGTATGTGATGGAAATGTTAGAAACATAATTTTCTCAAGAATGTCGCAAGAACGCGCGCGCAATTTTGCTTTGAACATCCGCGCTGCGAACCCCTATGTCTTATATGTTATTTTTACACTCGAATCTTAATCCCGCGCGAAACGGAAGGTTTTTGCAGGATTTCGGCACGCGCGCGCGACAACGCGCGTGCGTGAACTTCGTCTCATTGTTTGCATTGGCTTTTGAAAACTCACGGTTGCTGATGCGCGAGTGCGCGCGCGCGATATGTTTTGCAAAGGATGGCGGGGGGGGGGGGGGGGGGGGGGGGCGGATACCGTCTGGGCTGGAATGTTATGAATTCATATGTCGGCTTGACGAGTGGGCAGCATAACATGTAATTTGCAAAACGCAAATAGGGAATCGATGATCCCGGGGGGGGGGTAGAGTCCACTCTCTGCCTAGATACGGAAAAAATGCGGTGCAATAAAAGTGCGGCGAAATCTATGTGGTGCACTTCGCTTGTTCAACTTGAAGCTGTCCTCTCCACTGCTCGCGCAAACATCCCACGCTCCCACCTGCAACTTGGTCGCAAACCCTCTTAAGACCTTGACGGCGGGTGCCAAATGGCACTTGGCAACGACGCCGACGCCGACGACGACGGCGACGACGACGACGACGCCGCTGACAACGACTACGACGACACCGACGACATCCCCAACGACTACGACGACGATGACAACCGCGACGACCACGACATCACCGACGTCGACGAAGACGGCGACGCCGACGCTGACGACGACGACGACGATGGCAACGCCGACGACGACGATGCCGCCGACGACGACGACGACGACGACGCCGACGACGACGACGACGGCGACGACGAAGGCGACGACGACGTCGCCAACGAAGACGACGACGACGACGGAGGAGGGAGGACGACAACGGCGACGACGACAACGACGAGGGAGGAGGCAAGAAGACGACGACGATGACGACGACGACGGCGATGAAATAGGAGGGGCAACGACGAAACGTCGACGAAGACGACGAGGGAGGAAGGACGACCACGGCGACAACTACGACGGAAACGACGACGACGCCAAGACGACGACGACGACGAGGAAAGACAAAGGACGACGACGGCGACGACGACGACGAGGGAGGAGGTGGGGCGGCGACGACGACGACGACGCAAGAGCGCGCGCGCGCGCTTTTGTTGAATATCCGCGTTACGAAACCTGGTGTTTTTGCATGTTGCTTGAGCGCGCGACTGCTTGGGCGCGCGCGTGTCTGCAGAGGATTCTCGCGACGGCGCGTTCGCAAGGGCGTTCGAAAGATTTCGACGTGCGCGCGCGCGAAGCCCGTTTGGTCGCATTTTTTTGGCAATCTTGAAAAACCTATGGATTTCTCAATATTTCGCAAGAGCGCGCGTAAGCTTTTTTAGAACACCAGCGCTGCGAATCGATGTGTTTACGTGTGTTTGGGAAACTCGTTTTTGAAATCCTTCCGAAACCGAAGGTTCTCGAAGGATTTCGGCATGCGCGCGCGTGTGCAATTCGTCATATTGTGTACAAAGGATTCTTGAAATCTTATGACTTCGGATAAACAAGAGCACGCGCGGAGTATTTTTTGCAAGGGATGGCATGGGGGAGCGGCGCCGGCCTGACTGGGATAGTGTGAATCCATATTTTGCAAGGAAGATGGGGCATAATCATATGCAGATTGCAATGCGAAAAGGTGGATCGTTAATTCCCGGGGGGGGGGGGGGGGTATAATCTGTTCTCAAAAAGGGGAACTAATTTTCACAAACGAGTTGACGCGCCCCATGCACTTGCAAACGCCCCACCCACCAACCCGCAACTTGGTCTGCAAAACCCACGCGGTGGCGATTGCGACGCATGCTTGGCGTTGGCCGGCGCATCCCCCGCGGCCGCGCCGACCCAAGCACGCGCGCGCAGCGGCCAGCATATTGGCGCGACCGACGCGGCCGCGGTGGCGCTGACCGCCGGGCACATCCCAGCGGGCACTTCAATGCAAGTCGGCGACTTGGGCGGGCGCGGTGTCATGGCAACGTCGACAACGGTAGACGCGACAATGATAGCAGCGATGCTGGTGACGATGCTGATCGCGCCGACGACGAGGGCGGCGACCTCGCGTCGGTGATGAAGGTCCGGGAAAGAGTTCGACATGCGCGCGCGGCCGGCGCGAGAGCGGCCCGCGTGGTTTTTCTCGACGCGGATCGCGCCCCCCCGGCACGCGCGCAAGG